GGGGGTGCCCTACGGGAACCCTCGAAGGTAAGCGAAAAACACCCCCTACATGGCGTCTTTTTAGGATCGAATATTCATATATACACACACACACACACATCTATATATATATATATATATATATACATATGTCCATATATAAATATCTATTTAACTCGATCGTTGATACGCCCTCTGAAAAGTTCAAAAGCGAATGCGGAAAGGATTGAAGTAGCCTAGCCCCCCCCCCTTTTTGCTTTCTTTGTAACCCATATGGGATTCTTGTAATGCTTGTTGTCACAGTTTTTTTTTTCATGCCATGTTTGTATTCTTTTTTGTTACTATCACCACTATTGGGATGGGTTTTTTCTTCTTTAGCTGTTTTTCTTTTCCTTTTCGTCTGTTATATTTTTGAATGATTACAATTCATCCTCGTTAGGATAGGATGGGATCATCATTTCAGCATTAGTGTTGCAGAAGAAAAGGAACAAATAGTTGTTCAGGGCTAAAGTTTGATTTTATTCAGACAAACAACAACCCACATATATGCAATATATATGTAGTATTAGAAGTAGATTACTCTGATCCTTGTTTATTAGCTTGTTCATTTACTACCCATGTTTTTCATACCTATGCATGCCTATATGTAGACATCAATGCATATTTTACTTTATTTTTATTTCCTGCTTCATTAAAAAGGTTTGCTTAATAGCTATTTTTTCTTTCCCTCGAAATTTTAAAGGGATAAGGAAGCAAAATGTTACAGAGTTGTTCCTCTATTAGGTGAAGCTAAATCACCCACATTTACAGTCTAATCGTATTGTAATTTAATTCGATTAAATGTTGGAGTGCGGAGAAATGTTGCTTTTTTTGCTGTTTGTTGAGTCTCCGAATTTATTATTATTATTATCATTATTATCATCATTATTATTGTTATTATATATCACTGCAATAATTTATTCCATGGGTTTCAATGTTTATTTAGCCCTTAAGAATCGGTGGAACATTGTGCTTTTAGAATGCTCTTCGCATTCTTTCTTGGTTGTTTGCCACCCCTTTATTCTTCGTTCATCGTTTTTTGTGCCTATACTTAGCATCGCTTGTCAAAGTTATTGAAGTAACGTTTATATGGAATGAGTACCCTCAAATACCGATTGAATCTACACAAAGGGTGTAGTTTTTCTTCCCAAGTCATCTTGTAGTTTTATTTTAGTTCAAGTTGTGTTTATCTCAAACGTTCTGGGAAGCGACAATACCGTCGCCTACCCACACTTATCCATACCCATACAAAGGTCTCAACCCCATGTCTTCCAACCCCTCGGATGCCACCAAGCGGATGGCTAAGCAGGAGAGCGAATTGATTGACCATATGAAGGTCTCTGCGGCCGGTGGGGCGGTGGCGGGAGGGGGAGGGGTCCCTCCGCTTGCAGGCGGCAAGGGTTATCAATCCACTCAGAATATTCGGCAGCCCGTCGGCAGCGACTTCGCACGGCTCCCCCCTTCCCCCTCCGCCGAAGGCGCGCAGCGATCGAACGAGAATCTTCGCCGCGCCTTGCGGATCAGCGAATCCACCAACGCCACGGGCTACGCGACGATTCACTCGCTGGGAAGGCAGCGGGATACGATGCAGAGCACCCTCGAGTCCGTGGAGGTCACCCAAGGGAACCTTCTGGAGTCGCAGGCGGTGATTCGAAACATCCGAATGGGGATCTACAAGGAGTGGTTGGTGAAGGCGTGCGTTATTGTGGCGTTGGTGGGGTTAATCGTGTTAATTTTCTGGTCGAAGTTCATACGAAAGTAGCGAGGAAAGTCGACTGAAAACGACCTCCACAGCGGGATGACCACTCCCACACGCGCATTGATGGCGGTGTCATGGTGTGTTAAACTCTTTTCGTTGTGTTGTGCTTTCATAGGTATGAGGCGCTTTGTGGATCCACGCAGATCATATGCTTGCGAACGGAATTCATGGTGCATTTTTCCTTTTGTTTAAAAGGATTCGTTACCATTCCCTTGCCTGCTGTGGCATTCTTTATACATGAAGCTGGTGACTATCAAAGGCTTAAGAATATATTTTTTTTTGCGGTTGAGAAGACCCCAGGGTGCTGCATTAGGTATCTTTTGCTTGGTTACTGTTTTTTTCACTTTTCTGTTCTATTTGTTAGTGTATGATTTGTGAAATTTGCGTTTCCCTTTTGAGGCGCTGAGGTTCTTCATCGTTCGAGATGGACGTTGAAGGGGATGAAAATATGCTTTTGGGAGTTTTTTTTTTTGCGCAAAGTTTACCGACTCCTCCCCATTTTTTTTCTTTTTCCTTAATTCTCGTCAAAGCTTTTTCTCTTCCGTTGCCTTAATAGAGATCATACACAACACATTATGCGGAACTACAACAACTTCAACCGCGTCTGGAAGGCGCCACGCCGCCCGTTCGAGAAGGAGCGTCTGGACCGCGAGATGAAGCTGTGCGGCCAGTACGGTCTCCGCTGCAAGCGGGAGATCTGGCGGGTGAACATGACGTTGTCGAAGATGCGTCGGACGGCGCGTCTGCTCCTCACGCTGCCGGAGAACCACCCCCGCCGGCTTCTCGAAGGTGCCGCGATCATGCGTCGCTGCCACGACTACGGCTTCCTTGACGAAGAGAAGGATAAGCTCGATTATGTGCTTTCCCTCACCGTCCCGGATATCCTCGAGCGCCGTCTTCAGACGATCGTCTTCAAGGCCGGGCTCGCGAAGTCCGTGCACCACGCGCGGGTTCTCATCCAGCAGCGCCACATCGCGGTCGCGAAGCAGATCGTGACGATCCCGTCCTTCATCGTGCGCGTGAGCAGCGAGCGCCACATCGCGTTTGCGGACGCGTCGCCGTTCGGAAACGGCCGCCCGGGCCGCGTCCGCCGCGTGCGTGCGAAGGCGAGCAAGAAGGCCGCCGCCGGGGGAGACGACGACGACGAATAAACCCAAGGGAAACAAGCGAGACCTTGTAGGACAAGCGACCCTCCCCCTCCCCCTTTCCCCTTTCCCCTTTCCCCTTTCCCCTTCGCGAAGTGCGGGGAGGGGGGGGGAGGGGGGAGTGAAGTGATCAAGCAAGGACAAGAGACTTGAAAGGCATTTTTGTGTTTTATTTTTCTTTAAACGGAGAGCGTGTTAATCCGTATTAAAAAAACAAACAAACAAGGAGGCCTTGAGTAATATGTAAACGCACTCAATCGCCGGGTATGAGATGATATCTATACAGGTGACTTTCTGACAGTAAATTACTTCCCTTTTTCTCCTTTTTTTTTTTTTGTATGTCTCGCGTTATTTCAAGGAAAAATTTTAAGTAGGAAAGGGTAGGATACACTTTTAAAATTAATTGTATAATAGGTGCTCATTTACAATAACAATATATATAATATATATATATATAATCAAGTAATTGTAGCTACGTCTTGAAAAAGAAATTAGGAAGCTTTTATTGTCCTTCCTTTTTAGTTGAATTTTTGGTAAAAGATTTTGTGTAAATTTCGACTTACTTGTTTGCTTACTTGCTTAGTCACACAGTTTTGTTGCCATAATAATTCTTATTACTCTTATTCTCATTAGTACTCCTTTCTTGCACACACGGAGGAGTTTTTTCACCTCTTGGGGGGAATATTTTTTACTTTCATACCTCGGTTTACGGCTTTCAAAAATTTATTTTTTTCGGTTCAATTAATTTCGTATTTCGCAAGGGATTCCTATTTTCTTTGTCCTCTTCAGAATAAATATTGAACCACGTCACAAGCCACGCTCCCTCTGCAGTGAGTTAACCTGAAGAGGAGACTAGACACAACTCTATCCAGAGTGAGTTGTCATAAAGCGTAAGTCGAGGTGTTGTCCTAAGGGGTCAGGGTACTTTTAAGAGAACGCAACACGATCCAAGTAAGTGGGAACTGATCCAGGTTCCACGTACCTACGTAGACCTCTGGATATAAATATAAATATATATATATATATATATATTTATTTATAAAAGTTTGAGTTGTTCTTCGTGGTTAGGGTGCCCGATACTTTCTTGAGTTTTCTTTATCGAGGCAGGCTGTATACGTATTGGAAGAGTTTATTTGATAATCCTTCTTTTCTTCTGTAGGTCGATTATTCTGTAAAAATGTGCACCCCACAGTATAATCGGAATTTCGAGTATCCTTCTATGCGAGCCCTCGAAGCGATAGAACCCTTGCCCGTCTCGTCCTCCTTGATAGAGAATGCCGTCACCGCTAGTCAACCCGTAGCTTCGACCACCTGCAAGCGGTTTTGGTCGGATTCCATTGTACGTCACCTCGGCGTCGTGATTAGCGTCGCCGTGGCGACGGCCGCGACGGGAATGATCTCCTATCGCGTCTACTGCTGCAAGGTGCGCGCGCGCGGCGATCATCCCGCCTCGGCGACCGCGGGCCATCCCCCCATGATCCTTCCGTCGCCCTACGATCTCGAGAAGCTCGCCGCGGTCGGCCTCGCCGGCGGCGCGCATGGCTGGGAGCGCGTGTATGGGCTTCTCGATAACGGGAAGCCCTCGTCGGCGGCGGCGAAAAGGCATGGGGAAGGGGGGGGGCGAGCGTCCTACGTTGAGACCGGCACCGCGTGGGTGGCCGCGAGCACGACCGCCGCGATGGATTACGATCCGTACGCGAACCGCGCCCCTTTCTTCGCCGACGACGACGACGACGCCGCGGTGGAGGTCGCGGTGGGGGCGGGTGGATGGGGGGTTGGATCTCGCGCGCGGCCTCACGGGCTGGCGCCCTTTCTTCGTTCGGATCCCTTGGTGGAGGACCCGTCGTTTCCGCCGCAGCCCCATTCCGGGCCGTACGGCGGCTTCGCGGAGGTGCACCCGTTGCCGCCATCCTTCGCGATCGCGCCGTGCCGCCCGGCGAGGCGGCTGCCGCAGCTGCCGTCGCGCGACGTCTGCACGCCCGTCATGGGCACCGCCGCCCTCACGAGCAGGGATGCGA